GTTGTAAATAACTAAAGAAGGTCTCTGACCGAAACGTTTTATATTAAAATTTTTTATATTTTTGACGTCAGAAGTTGTCCATCCTCGCAATTTTTAAACTTTCTACGTTCGTGTTTGCTGTGGGGTTTGGACTGCGGATTTTTATCGATCCTCCTGGCGCAGTGCACCTTTGTTGGCCTGAGAGTTCCACTAACGACTTGCGATATTATATACTATATATATATAGTTAAGTGTACAGTAAGGTCGACGTAACGGAGAGACTAACTCTTGACTGTTCTGGACTAGTTTAATGGACGACGTTTCGGCCGTTCGGCCTTCCTCAGGTTAAAAGTTAAAAACTAAAAAGCGGTTTACAATGATTGTGAGCGGCTTATATACAATAAAGGTCTAAATTGCAAACTGACAAAAGTAGAACAAAAATGCAAAAAAAATCTAACTTAATTATTAGCGATAACGGAATGAAAAACAATGAAATGCGTCATATTGGGAAAATGGCAACTGCTCATTTGTAGTAATTAAATGCGGTGTTTGGATCTAGATTCCTGCCGTTTCTTGAGACCATGAGGATTAAGGGTAAATAACTGCGCGGTCTAATAGGCCTCCCTAGTGAGTAATAATCGTTCAAGGTGTGCGGCATTTTCAAAAGACCTAATTTGTTCAATAATAATGAAATTGATTTGAGAAATTTCGTGTATAGAGTCATTGAAATGAATTGCCAATTCACAAGTTCCGTTTGTTCTTCAGTATGTTCGATTTGGGGTTACGAAATCTAACTTTAAATTCAGTCGAGGTGGAACCTACATATTGTAGGTTGCATTTGGCACAGGTGGCTAAATAAATGACACTTCGTGACGAACAAGTCAGCCTTTGCTGAATTGGATATCGGCGGCCGGTTGCCGAACTCTGAAACCCCGAAGCTTGAATTAAACAGTTTTTACCTAAATCGCATCTCCCGCCGCATTTTGAGCAGGCCCCGTCTTCCTCTCTCTGCCTTCCACTGGAGGCTACCTGAAATTTTGACGGTGCTAACATCTCCTTTAGATTTTTGGTTCTACGATAAGCGGGAAAAATGGACTTGGATGGACAAATTTCTTTGACCTCTGGCGATGATTATAATAAATTGAAGGTGCTTTCTGATGATGTTTTGGATATCTGGCAAGATTGGATTATAGTCGAGCACTAAAGGAAAAACTTTCTTTGCTGGCTTGGCCTTTTTCTTCAAGAGTTCATCCCTTGGTGTACTGAGGGCCTTCTCGAGCTGTTTTATGAACAAGCTCCGCTGGATAACTTTGTGATTTCAAATACCCTTTGTATTCTTTACACCTATTTTGTAAAAAGTCGTCAGTAGAACAATTGCGTTTGATTCTTAAAGCTACCGCAAAGGGGATTGCTCATTTGCAATGTACGGGGTGTGAACTTGAAAAAGGTAGATATAGATGGTTATCAGTGGGTTTAGCATAAACATCAGTTCTAATAAAACCGTCCCGAAAGTGCAACGTGAGATCAAGGACATGCAAATGACTGTTGGAGTAAACCAATTCAAATTTGATAGTGGGATACAAACCGTTAATATAATCAGTGAATTCCAATAATTCCAAAAAAACAACTACATATACAGGGATGTATATGTAGTTGTTTTTTTCCGACTACCACACATTATACCCGCTGTGCTATTTGTATCGAGCACTGTTTCACGGACACCAAGTTTAATCCCTCTACACCGCTCCAAGTTTTTGTTGAGCACTCTACGGCAACCTGCAACGTGGAAAAATTCAACCTCAGTTACTCTACCAAGAATATTCCGTTACCATCGCGCAACGACTATTTACAACGTCTCATCGAAAAAACCAGCCAATTCTTGAACAGAATGCGCTGGAAGGCCCACTTCTTACTAAATCCTAACACCTCACCCACATCCAAAGAGAACTACGGCCTCAAATCGACCAAGAACCCTCCACCGATCGAAGAACTAAAGGACTTTGAGGACGACATGCTCAAGATGATACAGTCTGTAATATTCAAGAAGGTGAACAGCCCTTTCCTCAACAAACTAAAAGAAGACACCAACCGAATCAAGAACGAACCCAAGCTACTGGTCCCAGCAGACAAAACTACTAACTTCCACAAACTTGAACCCGCAGAATACAACGATCTTCTAGAAAAAAAAACGTAACAAAATCCTACAAGAAAGCCCTCCCCACAACAACGCAAGCAATCCATAAAACAAACAAAGACATCGCGGCAAAACTACAAATCGATGACAGGATAGACACTACAGCCAACAAAGGCGCATTCATAACACTTAAAGACCACAAACCGAACTTCTCAAACAAACCGACATGCCGCCTGATCAACCCGACGAAATCCGAAATAGGCAAAGTGAGCAAAGGGATCCTCGACCGCATCAAAACCAACATCGCGAGAAAAAGCAACTTCAACCTATGGAAAAACACCTCAGCCGCTATCAACTGGTTTCGATCTATAGACAACAAATACAACTCTAACTTCATCTGCTTCGACATAGAAGAATTCTACCCATCCATCAGCCTAGACCTCCTAAACAAAGCACTGAACTTCGCATCTGATTTTGACAACATCACCGCCGACGAAAGGAACATTATTATGCATGCCAAAGCTCGATTTTAATCCACAAACAGCAACGCTGGCAAAAAAAGGCAACACTACACTTGACGTAACCATGGGCAGCTTCGACGGCGCCGAAACCTGTGAACTTGTCGGAAACTTCCTCCTGTCCCAGCTACAGACTCTCAACATAAACATTGGTCTATACCGAGACGACGGGCTTGCCACAACCGACGCCACACCCAGGGACACTGAAAATATAAAAAAAGATATATGCCGCATTTTTAACGCTAACGGACTCCGCATCACCATAGAAGCTAACAAACAAGTAATCAACTTCCTGGACGTCACATTTAACCTCAGCCAAAACACCTACCAGCCATATACCAAACCCAATACCACACTACAATACGTCCACCGCGAAAGCAACCATCCACCGTCCACCACGAAAAACATCCCCGCCGGCATCAACAGACGCTTATCATCCCTCTCATCCGACAAAACCTCCTTCGACCAAGCCGCTCC